TTTGTGTGAGGGTTTTGTAGGGTTTGTATAGTGATGTATGAGTCTATAAAGGTATGAGTTGTCTTATAGCGTTTGTACAGTGATTTTCGAGGGTTGCATAGGGCCTGGTAGCGGTTGGATGCATGTTTTCGGGTTCTTTGGGGGTTGACAGGACAAGAAGGGCTTCATGATGACACAGAGCGTACAACTGGGCTGGGCTTGCCTTACAAGGTAGAATTCTTGCTTATTTCTGCGGTTGCCGTTCGCACTCTTCTTGTGCTTGGTGTTGGTGCTGCTCTCACTGTTGCCATGTTTACTATGCTCTCCACGTGCCCAAATATTACCAGAGTCCTCCCCATGACCAGCATCATGACGATCGTGCTAGTCGTTTTCTTCGTATGCCCTCAAGAGGCTTCTTTCGTCAGCGTCAGTTTGAAAACCCTGCGACGGTTGCCTTATCATGATTGACTGTGAGCACATATTTAGATAGTTATCTGTATGCATGCATGGATGGATGAATGGATGGATGTATTTGCATATGTATGTCTGTAATTGTCTCTGTGTGTCTGTGTGTATGTATGTAAGTATGCCTACATGCATGCATTTAGGTAGGTAAGTAGGTAGGTAGGTAGGGAGGTAGGGAGGTAGGGTTTAGGGTTTAGGGAGGTAGGGAGGTAGGGAGGTAGGGAGGTAGGAGGCAGGGAGGTAGGGAGGTAGGGAGGTAGGGAGGTAGCGAGGTAGGGAGGTAGGGAGGTAGGCAGGTAGGGCCGCATGTATACCTTTATGCATGTGTTCATGTGTGCATGTATGCATGTGTGCATGTATGCATGTATGCATGTATGTATGTATGTATGTATGCATGCATGTACGAATGTACATATGTATGTAAACAGTATCGGGTCCAGCAGAAGGGCGCATCTCAGTTTCGAGCGACAGGGTTCTGGGATATAGCCTGTTTCAAGATGCTGTTGATGATAAAAATCCTGCATTACCTTATGGACCCTAAACTATGGGAGTTATGGTATATTCCTTATTATGGGTAATGCAGGATTTATATCATCAACCGTATCATGCAGCAGTCGACCAAAAGCCTCAAGTAGGAGTTGATCATAATCCTTGCTGCAAGGACCCCTAATTTGGCATTCCGTCCTGCAAACTCAGGAAATCCTCGCACGCCTGGACGACATCCGGTACGACAAGTACGAGGCCGTTTCCGGATTACATGAAGTCGGGCTTGTAAATAGGTTTATATGGGGCCTCCTCCTTAATCCGCCCATGACATGCCAAAGTGAATAGACCGAACCCCGTAGGCCAAGAGGCATGAATTGGAGATTGACCTCCCGCAGCGACTGCCAGACGTCGGTTCGGCGATGACGACATCCACGAAGACGACCACAATGACGACTATCATAGTAATTAGGGTGATGTTAATGTGATGCGTATGGTAATGGTACTGATGACGATGGTGACAATGGTGTCGATGGTGACGATGATGATGGTGATGGTGGCGATGAGGGTGGCCGTGATGGTAACTGTGGTGGTAGTGGTGGTAGTGGTGGTGGTGGTGGTGGTGGTGGTGACGCTCAGAAGCATTGAGCTTATGATTTTGCACAATCATTTTCGAGAGCATGTCTCCGCCCCCTTGGTGTTCAGCCCACCTTCACATCAAAGCCTCCAACCCCTTGGTTTGTTTGCCGAACTGTTAAGCCTCAACCCCCAGAACCTCCAAGTGGCGAAGGAGACCGGCTGGGGCGATGCCTTCGATGAATTCACGGCGAGCAAGGGATGGTCTCCGCTGCAGGCAAAGGGTTCAGGGTTCAGGGTTTGGATTTGTGTATGGTTTTACGGGCCAGCTTGTTGGGGGACTCTGCGGCAGGGTTTTTACGGGGTTAAAGTACGGGTTCTCGCCGTGTTGCGTAGCCTGACTTCGGGCCTTCCTACCCGCGCGTCTTGCTATAGGGTTTCGTGAGGATTTTTGTATTGTGTGATACAGTAGTATATGTTGTTGACAAGTGGGTTCTATAAGGGGTCAAGGATGGTGGCCCAATGCGTAAGATGGCGTAGATTCTGGCGAGACGAGTCTCCGGGAGATGGCCGCGAATTCGGAGAGGCCAGTTGTGGACTCTCCCTTTGTCGGAGGTTGTGGGGCTTCGGGTCGATGGTTAAGGCCTTCAGGGCTTCATGGTCTTGGGTTTAGGGCTTAGGGTTTTGGGTTCAGAGGGGGTGGGGTCCCAAGTATTGGAGCTTCAAGTCGGAATGCCCTGAACCCCAGCCTCGAGCTTCATACCTCGCTGGAGGAACCGCCAAGGAGACGTCACCATCCCGAAACCCCAAATGCTTGAAAGCCTTGAAACCCCCCAAAACCCTAAAGCCCCAGCACATCTCTGCACCCCGGGCCAGGAAGTGTCGCAGGATGTCATCGAGGTGGTGGAAGAAAAGATCTGATCAACGGTCAGTGTAGAGAGGTCTGTACCAAAACAGCGAGTTCCAGACCCCATAGCGCAAAGCCATCGGATCCTACGCTTCAGGGTTCATGTTTTATGGATACATTCTAGACATATAGTGTATATTGCAGTGTATTAGAGCAGATTAGACTTACATAGGCTTTATGGGCCCGGCTCCTACATGGCTAACCCGAGTTTTGGTATCGGCAGCAGCTGCCCAAACGAGGCGGGCTTTTTGGCCCAGATGCCGACAAATGTCGCCAGAGTCCGCCCCTCTTGGAGCCCCGGAGAACCTTAGGAGAGGGCCTTCGCTTGAGACTTTCGATTGCTGAGACGATGAGGTCAGGGTCTCTGTGATTGTCAAGTTGCGATGCTCTTCTAAACTATTTACCTGAGCATCGCCTTAGAAAGTTGCGAGTTGAACAAATCCTCGACCTTCAATGAGTTAGGAGACATCTCAAATGCTCAAGCCGTGACAAGACTCGAAGCGCTGCAGCGCAGCATCTTAGGGACCAAGAGCACGGCAGGGCATCCCGTGCACGAGGCTCCGCTGTTGGCAGGGGAGTTACCCCCCCGCCCCCAGAAGCCCAAAGCTCCTGCAGTCAGCCTTTGGGATCGGAAAAATGTCGGTGCGCTGCGCTGGAGAGTGGTGTTTTGTTTCAGTTTTGTCGGCTCTTTGGGGATGCCGTGAGGCTGAGGATCAGAGGTTTCTTAGGGTTCAAAGCTTCTCGGATCATCGAGCGTATGAGGCGCTCCGGGAGGCCTCGGAAGGCTCAAAAGAGACGGTAGAGGACCGTAACTTCCGAGGCCGCAGAGCTGAACCCCTGAGGCCGCAGAAGCGTGAACCCTCCCTGTCTTGCTGTAGTCTAGGGCTTTAGAACTCGAAGCCCTGCCTCCGAAGCCACGGCCCTTGGAAGAGTTCGCAGGTGACACCGACAATCGACCCGAAATTCGATGATCCTTGCGACCCAACTGTCGGAACTCCCCAATTCTCGATTTTGCTTGCTATCTCTTGCGTTTGGGGTGCAGCTTCCTCGCCCAGTCTCTGCTGCCACGCCGCCCGCGCGACCGCAGGAAGCTCAGGGACGCCAAAGAAGGGCAAGAACAGTGGGGGCGACAGGGGTTTAGGGCTAAAGGCTTTCATGCTCCGAGCTGCAACAAGTCACGGGCTCCAGCAAGCCGCGAAACTAGACAGTTTCGTGTCTAAGTGTTCAGTGATAGTGCGAATCTTGGATAACCAATCTGGTTCCGACAAGTACAAGCAGCTGTGTTAAGGCTCTTCCCGCCCCTCCATGATTCGTCTACTTCTGCTTGCCCCTTCCGGCAAGGCTTCCTAGTGTCCTTGTTGCTGGTCGCTGCGATACTCGATGCTGGCATCATCAGTATACATGTGATGCGTCGATCCTTCAGACTCTCTGCCAGAACCCATGGCTCATGCCCGCTCCGCAGCCCTTCCGTGGGTCACTTGTCTCGGGGCACATAGATGTCGGACGATGCTGCGGCAACAGGCTTTAGGATGTAAGGCTTTGGGATACAAGATGTTCGACGGTGTCGCTACGCATACCAATTAGCATACTTAAGCTCTGGATTTTTCTGGGAATCGTGATTTGGTGGTCTTGGGGTGGGTGCGCCTGCTGTCAAACACGCTGGTCTTGTTGGGCATGGCATCGCCAAACTCGTAGAGCTTTCCGGGAACCAGGGCCCTGAGCCCTTAACCTAAAAACGCCTGACGGCCTAAACCCCAACAAACCCAAAACCACTTCCGAGGAAGAGCGCCTTCACTTACGCCCGCAGACCGCAGTCCTCTCGGAGTGAAAGGCCTTTGACTGGAGAGCCTCCCACCCTTTTTCTGGGCTCTTGTTAAGGGATTTAACTTAAGTTGCTATAATAAGGAAGCCATACTGTTTAACATATAGACCACTTTTATGGTAACTTAAATGAAATCCCTTAACAAGAGCCCAGTTTTTTGTTTAGGCTTGGTGGTTTGTAGGAGAAGTACCGAGGGGTCTGGGGGCAGTGTTGCGAGTAGGCTTGACAGGTAGTAGACTCGACACCCAACACCAGCAATCTAAATCTAGGTGGCGGGGTCACGAGGCGACCAACCGCGATTTTTCTTTCTTCGGATGAGGACAAGCTTGGTGTCGGTCGGTGTGTGTGTGTGTGTAGAAGTTTCCTAACTCAAGCCTTGCCTCTGCTCAATATGCCTCGACACCTTCAGTTTACGGACAGGACGGGAGGCAGGGTTGGATGTCGGGTTTCTTGGACGTAACTGTTGCGGCAGGGCGTTCTGCTGTAGAGCTGTCAATGTTTGTTCTTGTGTTCTTGCATCATCCTTTCGGACCCCCCTCCCCACACCCAAAGCCCCCTTGAGCAGCCCTGATTAAGCCTGAAAGATGCATGGGGGTCATCCTTCTCGTCGGACGTTGCTGCTCCCTAAGTCTTGCTTGTGGCCAGACAGGCCATTCATATCCACATGTCGAGCACTGGCACCAGATCTTGTTTCATACATATGCTAACCTGTCATCTGACCTTAGGGATCCTGTCAGCCTGATCCTGCCGTTGATGATGGTGTTTTCCATGGAACCGGCAGCGGGAGCTCCGGTGGAGCTGGGCCTGTCGCTGCTCCTCCTCATAGTGAACTGCATACTTTCCTCATCAGATGTCGCTTCTGTGAAAGGCTGGCTGTCTGCGAACTTTCTCGAAAAGGCTGATCTTACGGTGCAGGTCGAAGCTCCGTCGAAACCCCGTGTCGAAGAAGCGATGCAGAAGCTGACTGAAGAGAACTTCCTCATTGCAAGCCACTTTCTACAGCATGCGATGCTCCTGGCCGTGATCATGTACGTGGGCATGGGATCACCCGCATTTGCAGGGCTTTGCTTCTTGTTCTATGCAGCGTTCTTGCTCATTGCAAAGGGCTATGTCAGAATGACATCATCCAGGGTCAAGGCCTACTTGATCGTGAACTACATTACCATCATTCCCGTGATGTTTGCAGGCGACCTTTTCGCTGCCGTCGGACGCAAGGACGTGCTCGATCAGTTAAAGTCTGGATATCGCTTTGTGCTGGTCGTCCTCTGCGTGGACAGCAACCTGCACATTCCTTCTCAGGTCGCCGTGTCGGTCGCAGAGGCGGGGGCCGACTTTCCAACAGGTTGAAGCTTTGGGACTCCTAGGTGCCCCAGTAGTGCCCTTTTGCCCTTTTTAGTTTGGGGTCCCCTTCTTAAAACCGAATATTAAGCAAAAAGGGTACCCTTATTATTAAGGGGTTACTGGGGAACCTAGGGACTCTTTGGGACTGGGAGAAGGGCGACTCTAGGCGCCAGGGTCCAGAGGTTTTGGCTTTCTAGGGCTCAGACCGACCAGTAACGACTCTAGTAACGACCCCACCTTTCTTGAGGGAAGAAGAACCCACATATTGGCCCAAGTACAAACCCGGGCATTTTGAAGTCGAAATCTCTCGGAAGAAGAAACAAAAACACCCCTGGAGTTTGCAAAAAAAACGCCCCTGGAAGAGAGTATTGAAGAGGGGGAGCGGAGCGGCCCTGGAAGCCTGTGACCACGCCCATTTCGAAGACCCTCTTCAAGAATGAAATTTCATAGCTTTGCTCTCTAAAGGTATGTATGCCATGTAGGCACCTGTGTAAGAGCCATCGAGACAAGGTGGCGTTCTACATTTGGACTCGGGGTTGGGATGAGCCCGCCGTCCCTTACGTGCTGCTCGGCTGGAAATGGAAGCGCTGCTTTCTCGCAGGCGTAGCACCCCCCAACTCCGACCAGTTGCGTTCGGATTTTGAGGCCAGGGAAGGTGCTGGTCTTGTCAAAGTTGGTTAGTTTGTTGTGGAATCCTCAGAGCCACTGGTGCCTTTATGCCTGATACTGATGCTGTCAGATGATCCGTGTCATGACTATAACTTGTCTGAGCTTCTGGCGCTTGCTGGGGCTCTAGTAAAGAGACGGTCCTTCCAACAAGAGGGATTACCTTTGCAGTTCTGCCATCAAGGCTTACTCCAGGGATCATCAGCATATCATCAGCCCTGTATCAAGAAGTTTCAAGACAGTGTAAACGTTCTAAGTTGCCGTGTCAAGATTTTGGGGATTCGGTCGTCGAAGGAGTTCCGGTGCATGTAAGATCCTTTACGGAATGGCACTTACTCTCACTATACCACCGGTCGCCAAAATCACCAGGCACTGCCAATCTGGTGCAATACTGTATAACTGTATAGTTTCTACATTATCAACAGTGCTACATGAATACACAGACGAACAGTACGAAGTAGTATTTAAGAGCCTTCGGCTGAAGCCGTCGGCGTCAATACAGTAACCCATCTGACCTGACCATCGCTAGTGAGCACGCACTAAGGAGTCGCCGCCACAATTCGGCGAATGAAGCATACTGGTATACTACAGTTCTAAACCATGCAGTAGACCTTAATTAAACCCACAACCATCATTACGCTACAATCCAGTTTCCCGTTACCAACCGTATATAAGCCCTCCAAAGACCCATTCTAAGACCTCGATCAATCCCTCGTGAACCCTCACCTCTCTCTCCCCAGGTTTGGCCAAGCCTTCACTGCAGCCATGACGAGCACGCTGAGCTTCGTGTTGGAGCATCCTGGTTCAGGATTTGGAAATCCGGGTGTACGACGGGTCTAGGAAGGTTCTAGAGTTTAGGGCTTCGGAACCCAAGCCAAACAAGAAGCTCTAAGCTCAGAGCCCAATGGGGATTCCGAAAATACACATCTGCAAGATGTGGAGCCCCGATTCGGGGGTTTTATGTTTCCGGAGCATAGCAAGCCCATGTTTAGTAGATCTAGTTCAGGATTTCAGAGGCTTCGGGGGTTTTGGGGGGTTTTCTGCTAGGGCCGCTAGGCTGAGAAAGCCGCTGAGCCTGGTTCATCCCTCAACCTTGACCTGCACCAGGGTGGCTCTCTGAGTTAGGGGCCCCGTTTTGGGTACCAATATCTAGTACGGCACCCTTTATAAAAGGGGATCCCAAAAAAGAGGCCCGATTTTTAGAGAGCTACCCGCAAAGCCCCGACGCAGGGTGCTAAAGCGGAGATGCAGGCTTGCAGCGCTCAAAGCCAACAACCATCCAACCATTTCATCCCTGAAGTTTCGATGCGGAGGCCCAGAACCACGAGTCTTCAAAGCTAAACCTCGTGTTTTCTTACGGGAAAGGGTTCGCAATCTAGAAGCTTGCGTTCTCAACCCTCTGGACTTGTGCCGCATCCCAGCGCCACAAACACAAGCACCTGCATCCTTGACAAGCTCCTCACCCCCGAAGCGAGGTATTATCTTCGGCAACGCCTTGAAGCACAATTTAAATCTGCAGATGCTGAGTCCATCACATCAGGCTGGTCAAAAACATGGTGCAGGTGGTGAGAGTTGCTTGTGATTGCATGAAGGGGCGGAGTGAAATCACCTAGTGCCAATATGAAGATTCGGGGAGAATCATCGAAGGCGTCGTCTGTGTTCACAACGCAGTAACTTTGTTGTTGCATAGTTCGCTGCCCTGCGCGGCAGCGGCCATATGAAAGTCCTACATACACGAAGTTCGGGAATCATGCCCATCACTGACGTGATGCTGCTGAGAAGATGATAACGACTCGTCATTATGGTGAACTGGCAATAAACATGCTAACGATGGTAACTATGATGCAGATGGCAATGATGATAATGATGGCGACTTCGACGGCAATGACAACGACACGAGTTGTGGACATGACGACGACGCCAGTCCCCAGCACCACCAGCACCACCAGCACCACCAGCACCACCAGCACCACCAGCACCACCAGCACCACCAGCACCACCAGCACCGCCAGCACCGCCAGCACCACCAGCACCACCGCAAGTG